CACGAGGTGAGGGTACTGTGCCAGCTGGCCCGTAGTGCTGAGGTATCCTAACCGGCTCCTACCTGTGGCCCTGCAGGGGGGTGGATTTTAAATCCTCCTCAAATCCTGCTACAGCCACTACCCAAAATTCAGGTGTTGGCATTTAAGGCAAAAAAACCGCCCCCCCCCGCGCTCTGAAGTTTCAGTCTGTGAGCATCCTGAAGAGAAGCTCGATTTTGTGCCTTTTAAGTAAGACTTGGGTAGTACTTTAAAATGAGATTAGTAAGTCAGAAAAAGACTTGGGTAGTACTTTAAAATGAGATTAGTAAGTCAGAAAAAGGTTGATAGAGCTTTGAAAGAGCCAATCTTTCATCTTTGAGAAGTTTACTCAATTTTATCATTACATTTGAATAAAAAGATGGTTTTCATAATGTATATTATGCTTTGGCTTTTGAACTTTTTTCTCCTGAGTTTCATGTGCTGTTTTTTTCTTTTATTTTATGAAGTGTTGGTCAACCATTAACTAATGTTGCCATTATTTTTTGCTCATAGAATAATGGTCGGGATTTGAACACTGAGGCAATCTCAAGTAACTAAAGGAAATAAGGAGTTCTGGTAAGGTTTGCTTGCATTTGACAGGTTAATTTTATCTTGTGGCTTCTATAAAGAGTATTAAGTGAAGCTTCCCATTGCTAGGAGCAGGTAAACATTATTTATAATATTTATACAACAGTGCTGAAATACAGGATGAAACACAAAAGTATTGATGCTGTGGTGTTAAATGTGTGTTATCCTGGGCTAAAGTGTTAGCTGAGGGTTTATTTGGCTAGCAGGCAATGCTACACTGAGACAACTGAGCTAGTAGGAGTACCAGAAGTGTTATTTGTTGTCTTAATATTTTTGGGTTAGATGATGTTTCTTGTAAGTGGTATCTTAGCTCAAGTGAAGCACTGGGCTAGCTTGACTATTTCTGTGCTGTATGATACTGTGTCTTTAGTAATGCTCTGCAACATCCCTGCACTTCAGTGAAGTCTTATGTATATTAATTCAAAGCATCTAAGTATCTCTATTCCTGGTATATAGTTAGTAGTAGTTTCTTTGAAGGAGAGGCATGTACACTGAACTGGCAGCAAGCAGACTGAATTGATAGGTTTTAAATTGAAATTGCAGTGGCATCAAAAGTTAAAGTCAATTTCACATCCAACTGGATAGAAATAATAGGCCTGAAGAGGTTATATTTGTCTAAGTTATATATACTTTTCACATGGAAGGATCTTTTACTTGAGCAATAACTGAGTTTTTTGTCTCGGGAAAACTCCTGAAAGGACTTCAGTATGACTGTTGTTTTTGATAGGAGTTACTGTCAGCTATGAAAGGTACTTAATATGCTAAAAGAGAATGCTAGTAGATAAGAATTTTTTAACTTTATGGCCTATGTTAATAATTTTTTTTTTACTATTGATCTTACTTTGCACGCTTCTTTCTAGCAGTACTTTCTTTCTAGCAGTACTTTTCTTTCTGACAAAAGAGTACCATCTTTTGTCAAGTAGTGTTTCAGGTGTAAGGGGGAAAAATTGTGAGATACTTTGTTGTTCTTAGCCAGCTAGGTTTGGGAGAAACTTTTCAGTTTATGTAGTTTTAATCAGATTGGGATGAAAGTAATTTATTTGTTTATTAACAACACAGAATTAATGGAAAATTAGTGAACTATACATTCAGGATCAATATCAGCTATGGAACAGATTGACAATGCTATATGCTTGCAAAACATCAATAAAGATCTACAATTTTCTAAAGACCCTTCTAGAACTAATCACAGAAAGTTCAGATCTTGCAGGTGCACCTTCCGCCTTTTCCTCTTTTCAGTGTGGGAGGAGTGGTTAGCATTTTGAGTTTTCAGAATTCACATTTTTAGGAATAATTTTTAGAACCTAACTAGAGTGTGCTTCTTTTTTGTAACTGTTCAGATTTGGATTTGGTTCACTCCTTGTCATTGAAAGTTTTTGGAAATTAAAACTAATTTGTGTTTTTCATGTAGAAGCACAGCATTATCTTAGAAGGCCCTATAGAATTAGATTCTCACTATTTGGCACTACCCTGCATGAAGTACTTCCAAAAGTAGTATCTCAGCCAGCTTTTTGAGGAGGCATTTCTTTGATTGTCATTAGTTTGAGGACTTCAAAACAGTAGAAAATAAATTTATGAGCACTGGAAATATATTATTTTATATATATATGGTAGAATTTAATACTTGAAGACCATTTGAACAATGAAATTTCATTAAAAAATTACTAACATCTAGTGAAAGCATCAGTTTGCGGTATACTGCTTTTCACAGCTGAGAGGTGAAATAAATGTTCACTTGTGAAAGCACTGCTCTTCCCAAAAACATTGTACTCATGTTGAATAGCTAAGAATTGAGCAGAAAATGCCATTTTCTTAGTGACTCTTGATTTATTTTTGTACTCTTTCAGTACTGTACCCTGTTACAGCATGAAAGTTGACTCTCTTCATGAACCACCTCTCTGATAATAGAATGTATTTTGAATAGCACCTAACTCTCCTTAGCGTAAACTGTCCTTTGTAATCTAAGCTCTTGCAATTCAGTCTCTGCTTTTCAATAGACATTGTCCCACAGATGCTGGGACAATCCTCTCAGTCCACTGCGTTCTGTTTGTAGATTTTTTATAATACAGAAGGTCTCTGACTTTTACGTGTGTATGTGCCTTATTTTTTAAATAATAACGTTGCTCAGAAAACAAAGTACAAAACAATGTGAACTTGTTTGCATATTTTCTATCATTTTTTATTTAGTTGTTGAATAATAACAATGTGCAACAGACAAATGTTAGCCTTGGAGAAGCTGACTTTGGTTTTAGAGGAGTACCGTTTTTTGTTCTGATGCCATAATAAAATAATCAAAATGCATATCTCATTATCATCAGTGTTTTTATTATGAAGACATACTTGCTTGTTTAGTACAACTAACATGCTGTGTCTGACACGCTTTCCCATCTCAACTGGCATGGTAGAGGCAGGGGAGTAGTATTACTTCAGTTCCTTTGTGTTGATTCTTCCAAAAGGCAATGCTTCCTGGATTAATTTCATCTTCCCACCTTCTCCTGTACTGTGATCATGAAAAAGTACTTTCCAGCCAGAAACTACGAACAACTACTGCAGGTCCAAAAAAACCCCACCCCAAATACTATTCAAACTAGTAGGTGAGAAGCCAGAAATGCTGTTGTGTCATTTAATTAGACAAAATTATCTGCAAAACTACATACATACCATTTATAGACTTTCAAAAGCCTTCAGTAATATTTGATGACAGTTTATGGCATTCATCATCAGCTTTTTGTATTGAAATTTTTTATTTAAGTGCAAATAATCTTCCTCGCTACATCTTTCACTGTTTATCTGATGTACAAAATTGTCTCTGTATGACGTCTATGATTGGTTGCAGAAACAACTAATAACTGGAATTCAGTGCCGGTGTCTTTTTAAAAGCTAGAAAACCAATAGTGAGTAATTATAAAAGAAACTATTTTCTATATAAAGCAGAACAGTAGCTCTAGCCAGAGATTCCCAAATGGTGTGTTTCGGATGTGGTTCTGCAAAGATCTGCTCAAGAGCACAGAAGTGGGTATTTCAAGCACTGACAGTAAAAGCAGTAGGAATAAAAGTTACTTCCTATTGTGCAGAGATCAGTATAATGAAAGGTGATTAAATGTGATTACATATTACAAATAATTTGTTAGTGTTTCAGTATTCTGAGCTACTTGTTTCTTATGAAGAATGTCAGAATTCTGAGAAGAGAAAATGGAGTGAACTGTAGTAGTGGGGAATTTATGTTCATTTCAGGCATTAGAAATGGCCTGGGTTTGCACATAATTGTAGTATTTGGGTTTTTTTCAGACATATGTATGTAATGGGGGGGAAAGTTTTATCTTGATTTCCCTGAATTTCTTCACGTGGAGATGGGGGCAATGTAACTACAACAGATGTATGAAAAGAGGAAATATTGTCTGAAAATATGCTGAGTAAGCAGGACACTACAAGACACTGCTGCCTCCTAGTACACATATATTAAATGACTTTGAAGATGAGCAGGACTCTTAAATGTAACTGAAATTATCCTTCATTAATTTCTTCAATTTTCTTCTTTTCAAGTTCCATTCCAACACTGAGACAGAGAATGCGGAGAAGGATTTATTGTCAAATACATTGCCTCATTGTTTATTATAGCTATTTCATTTTTTTAAAGTCTAAAATGTACATTACACTTCTAGATGCATTGTAATTTTAACTCTGCTTGCTTGGTTAAAGTAATGTACATGGATTATTGATATGAGTTAGCTCTATATTAATAAATAATGGTCTCCTAGAGGGAGAACTTGTAGTGAGTTAAAGAAAAAAGTCAACAAAGTATTCCATTATTCTTCCAGATTTTTACACTGGCACAGTATATTAAAGGCTGAGACCCATGAAATACTGACTTTAAAATAAACCAAATAAATTACCTTGCAGGAATGTGACCTTAATATGCTTATTGAAAAAACAAACAGAAATCAAAACAAGCACACACACCTCCCCCTCCAATGTTATACAAATTCCATAAAGTCTCCAACATGAATATCTAACAACTGTTTAATCTTATAGCTAACAAAACAGCCATTGCTCCTTTATCCAGCTGAATTACTCTGATTCATACCTTGACTTGCAGATGAAGTGAGATTCAGAGTTTTACTGAGGTGCTGGAGAATGAAAAGAAAATTTAAGAAATTATCAGACATTAAAGGATGCTAAATTTAAATTAAGACTTGGTGCTGAAGGTGAAATATGGAAGCCTTGTAGTAGTTGCTTTTATCTGACGAGTCCAAGGAGATTTAATGTTCCTAATACAACCTTCAGAAGGTAATAATATTAAGCTTTGAGCCATGTCTACACTGTACAGTATAGCATTGAACAGAAATACTTGAGTTAGCCATCAAACTGAAAGTAGTGTGTCTTAATAAGCTGCTGCATAGATTAGCTGGACATTTCAGAGTTCTTAGCCCGAGTTCATCGCAGTACTAACGCAGCTATATTGCTTGCTGCCAAATGAAGATATCGGTGCCCAGCACTGCAAGGTGTACTGTGTACACATCCCTGACTTAGCACTGAGTAAAATATCAAACTCTGTGCTGTGTAGAAATACCTTCACGCTTGCCATGCTGAAGACGGATCTCCGTCAATGGCTGTTACACAGGTCACTTTCACAGCTTTTTCTGGTTTTGATGAGCATTTAAAGTGGTGCTATATAGGTTTGTATTGACAAATAGATACATCAGCAGCAGCTTTACCAAAAATTATTTCGTGAATATTTCTTACTGTGTTGTAAATGTGACTTTTTTTTCCTGGCCCTTTTGATAAACAAAATAAATTATCAATGTTTGAAAAATGTTTGTGATGTAGCATGCACTACCTTTTTCATATGTCTAACAGCTAATGACTTAATTTAAAACTTTCAGTTACAGAGTAAGGCACAAAGGATAATAAAATTATCCATGATGCACTGTGTGTAGGTAGACCTCCGTTCCAGTGCTAAATATCTTCTCTAGAAATTTTAAGTCAGAAGCATAATAATTGTCCACCTTCAGACCTGTATTACCTACCAAGTAACTTAATTCTGTCATAACAGTTCAGAATGAAAAACACAATCTTGCTGGTGCATGTAATTAACAAACTTTGTATATACTATCAAAGAAGTCAGGGTTAGATAAAGGGGAACTATGATTTTTTTTTTTTATGTTTTTGTTAGCTATCTGTTACTCTTTCTTCATTGTAGTATTAGTGTTACCCATAAGATTCATCTGATTACCTCTGACATCCAGTCTGCACTCTATTTCGGCTTCACCACACTCATTAACAGCTTTACAGGTATAACAGCCACCATCAAATGGAGTGGGTTTCCGGATTTCCAGGGTCAACACACCCTGTTTACTGAACATGCGGTATTTGGCATCCCCAGAGAGATCCATATTGTTTTTGTACCAGAATATCTTTGGCTGAAGAACACAAAAGAAGAATTTTAAAACAAAAGGTAGAAAATGGAAGACTTATGGCTGATCTTACAGCTTTAATTTAACCATCAAGGGTTTATGTATTATAAGGGCTATATATTATGCAGCAGTGGTAATAATTTTTCAAGGAACATCTCCTCATTCAGTACAAACTCATGAAAGTAATAATTCAAATGTTCAGTATTTTCTTTAACTCCCAAGTAGCATGTAGAGAATGTAGGTCTGTACCCTGTTTTAAAAAACCCTTCAAGCTGGCTACAAATTAATTCCTTCAGGAGTTATTTAATTGTGCTTATTAAAATATATTTGAATGTTTCAAGTATCGTACAGAAGGGGAATTAAACTGCACAGATTATTAGAGCAGAAGTGTCATAAAGGTCTGTGGATGTTGGGTGGCCAACTTGGGATGCCAAGGTTTGGGCTGGGAAAGGATTTTCCATATCTTTATCTTCTAAGCATACTTCAGGAATTTCAAGATAAGTTCCTGTTGGCTTCAGGTGAGCAAGTGTACCAATTCACAATTCATTGTGTTTTGTTTCCAGTACCTGAAAATGTGCCTTTAGTTTTTATAAATGAAATTTTGAAAATGAAAAATCTGATATAAAGCAAACTGCTTTTGTTTATTTCAAGCTCATTAGTACGTATAGTGAAGAAATAGGCTTTAAAGAGTAGAAGACCAAGCTCTGCATTCATCTGTTTTACTTTCAGAATTAACATCTTCTGTTTCTTCACCCATAAAAAAAATAATACTAGTGTACTGTTTTATAGAGTGCATTCAAATCCACTGAATCGCTTGTGTCTTTGACCTGTGATATACAGTTCAGTGCATCCCAGTTGTCATGCTTAATTTTCTTTAAAGATATCAGCTGTATTTTTTCCTGCCTCAAAATTTTTTGCTTCCTTTTCTACAGCCTCTGTCTTTCTGGGTATATGTCTTTCATTTCAACACTGCTACCAGGGCATGAATATTGGCTCTGCTTGAAGTGGTAACTTTTTCTTGCCATACAGATCATATCTGAGGTATACTTGATAATCTATAGTTATTCAGAACTGGAAAGCTCTATCAACATAAGATACTCTGTGAAAAAGACCTGTTGCAGAGTTCTGCAGTAGGTACAGAAACTTTTTGTTAAGGTTAATTTGGGCAATGCAAGTACAGAAATGTATCTTGAAAAGCTGCTTTAAGAGTATTAGGTGTACTGAACGATGAGGACTATTTGTATCCTTTAGGCTAATGTGGAAGGAAGAGCTAGCATGCTCACATTCAAAAGCCTGCGACTACTGTATTTAACAGCTGTAAAATATGAAGTTTGTCTTAGAATCTTCTTAAAATCATGGAAACGGAGTGAAGTGGATACAGATGCACAAAAAGGTCAGTTAACTAAGACGGCATATCATTACTAACACTGTTATTTTATGATGAATCTAAGCTGAAGCAGCTACTGGAGGATGGATTTTGTCTACAGTTGCTGGTATTTCTTCTATAATGTTCTTTTGCAGCTATTTGCATGGGTATGCTTCCTTTTTATACTTGAGTTTTGTCTGGAGCTCCTTCTTTATCCAATGAACTGCAGCAAATGATTGCATTAAGACTGGTTTGGGTTTTTTTTTTTAGTTAATTTGAACTTTGAGCAATTATCTCACATGTTTTGCTGTGTAGCTATCAGATCCTTGTGCAGGCATGAGGAAGGAGCTGGAAATAAGCAGCCAGAAGGGGAAGGGAAAAGGGTACTGCATTTTTTGTATTGTACTAATTTAAATTTATGACAAGGTTATGTCATAATATGGTAAATTCCTTCACTGCAGACAAAAAGCCTATTTCCCTTTTTTGAGAAACCTAAATTTAGCTCCTAGCTGATACAGTTTTTACTGCTTGTTCCTGACTCTAACAAAAAACTACATCTTTTTCTACTCCTTGAGGAGAATTCAACAAATATATTTAGACTAAGAAAATATTCCTGTAAGATTTAAAAAAAAAAAAAAAGCCACAAAACTTCACACATGACAGCAGGTCTTATTGTAGTTAATTTTGCAAAATAACTCAGATTTTCTAAAAGTTATGTGATGTATTGACATAACAGAAGAACTGGTGTTCCTATGTATCATTTAGGTTAATGGAACAGTATATTACATTAGCTGCTGTTTTTTTGAAAGACTGAGGAGAACAAAGTATACATTGTGAGAAGATACTTCTTTTGGTTGTTGTTTACCTTCTTCATTGAGTAGATTTTAGGTACACATGGTACATTTTCAATGGCACGGTGTTACCGTAAGCAATGACTGTCCTTTCCTCTGTCTCCTTTACTGTATTGCCCCACTGTTTCTGTGCAGAACCACACAAATGCTTGCACCGTGCATTCTGGTTAAGCATCAGTTGTGAGTGAGGTGGGAGATAATTGTGTGACCTTTACTTTTTCTTAATATAGTCATGTTACACTCCAGTCACACTGAACTGGCATGAATTCTAAGGCAGCATCTTGGCTTTGTTGCAACAGTATCAATGACAGTTGATGTAATCTGTACCTTGGGGATTCCTCTTACAGCACAGCTGAGTGTGGTGTTGTATCCTGCAATCACAGAACGGTTTACTAAAGGATGAGTGAATTTAGGAGGTTCAGAGAAGTCATGTTCTTTGTAACTAGGTGGCTTGTAAGTGGTGCCTGCAATTCAAAGAAACAAACCAGTAAGAACTATGTTTTCAATTCTGTTGACTTTTGTACAATCTGTCATTTCATTTGCCTGTATGATTTAAGGAAGCTTCAAAGCTGTGGCATTTATGATATAACAAATCTTTAAATTCACTTCACTCTCAAACACATCTCATGTTTAATGCTTTAGTTAAAATAAAAGGTCCTGGCAATCACGGGTTTTCAACTTCAGTTAAAAATATGAAAGCCATATGTCTGCAGGGGAAGTCTTCACCACAGCCATCTTAAACTTTTAACCCCAGAATGTAAATATAACCCCACAGTTGTATTATTTTCTTAAAATAATACAGTTTAGGAAGACTGTGTGATTAAATATTTTTGAACACATATTCGTGTTAGTACAGGAGATCAGCCTAGATAAGGGCTCTTGATGCTAAAATGTAAATGCTAGTTACTAAATAATGAAAATATCTCTAGTGATGCATCTAGCAATACAGTATTTTCCATTTACCAATGTATTACTTCTGGTACATAGCAGCTTTTGTGATCTTTGTTTTGAAGAATATGTTACCTGTTTTTTGGATATAGGCAGGATTTTTGGTGGTTGCAGCAGTTTCACTCAATCCACACAAATTTTCACTGAAGATTCGAAAAAAATACTCATTTCCCATAATCAGGTCTGACACTACACAGTTTGTGCGACGATAGTGATCAAAAACAGTATACCATTCCTGTAACAAGACTATACTGTTTAGAAAGATGCTATGAGAGGTCAGACATGGTTCTAGTTTTGGTATGGAGAGATCCTTCTTGCTACAAGGAAAAGACAGGTAGACAGGTATTTAACACTAGCCTGCAAAATGAGTATTACATTGCTTCCCATGAAGATCAGCTGATCTGTTTTGTTACTTTTATTTTCTGGCTGGTGTGATAGATGTATGAATACTTGCATTTTGAGAAAAACCGCCTCTTTACATTTTAGCCCTACTCATATCTGAGGAACCTGATACAGGATGTGTCCTCACAACATGACTACTTGATGGGGACTTCCATGAAAAAAAGGTTTCCCAGTTTGACTGGGATACATACCTCTCCCAGTATATACCCTAGTATGCCCAGCATCTGAGTTCAATCTAACTCTTCCTTCCTCCCCTTCCATTTTTCCCTGCATTTAGGAAAAATATAATTCCAAATAAAAAATATAATTCCACCTTCTGAGTAGAGCTATATGTCCAGTCACCGCCAGAGATGGGACAGGCCATGTCTCTTTACATTTTCTACCAGGCATTTTATACAGTTCTATACTTAGCCTTTTGGTTCTTTTTAGATTCTATTCTTCAATGTTTAACTGCCTCTGATATGCCACAGGACACCTTGGACACACAACTGAGAGTCATGAATTCAGCTGTTTTCCTCAAGTCTCTGTGTTCCCAGAGCAGGTGGTTGTTTAAACTGCATACGAAGTCACTGACTCAGTGCAATTTCTTACCATTGTCTTTTTGTCAGCTTTCTGGACTGTGTAGCCCAAGATCTGTGCATTGCCATCATCTTGTGGAGGTGTCCACTCCAGGGCTGCATTAAATCCCCAAACATCTACAAGCTTTATATTCTGAGGAGGACCAGGCTTGTCTGCAGAGGAGACATGAAAAAAACCCCTTAGCTTTTGGTTCAAGATCCAAGAGCTTTGTCACTTCCTCCCATGCAGGGAAAAAATAGAACTTGATAGCAATCTATAATTGTTCCATAGCAATTCACTTCATTTATGTGAAGCTGAAACTGTAAACAGGAAAGTTGGGAAATTTTCAAATATCCTCTTAATACTCTTCTGAGAGGCCTGAAACCTACTGAGAAATAGACAACACAGTAGAATTACTAACATAGGAAGGGGAGAAACTCTTCCTTGAAATGGAGTGAGAACTTTGTGGTGTTTGCATGGGTGTGATGAACTCTTTTACTACAGTTTTATTACTTGCTTTGTTACCTCAGTGCAATTTCTCAGCCATTTAGATACATTGAGAGTAATATAAACAACAAAGGCAACTGGGTATGTATTCCTCTCAGCTGTGTATCTTCATTAAACAGAAATAAATTAATCTATTCTGATTTGAAGAGAATAATTTTGGACACTACATACGAATACCTGTGTGCGTGGTATGAAAACTGCAACAGTCTCAGTGGGCAAAGCTCTACAAGCCCTGAGTAAGTGAATTGTAATCTAATAGTAGACAGATGTTGTGATGTTTAGCAATTTGTTAATTATTTTCAAGTCTACCTACTGTTATAACCCTCCACAGTGTCTGCCTAGAGCTTTACAAGTATTTTTCCTGTGTGCTTACCTACAGATACATCTACACAACAGTTTTTTTTTGTTTAAAAGGGATGCTTACACAATGCTTTGTCAAATACTGGTGATCTTGGTGATGGTATTTGGTTTAAATACTATAGGAAGAGACTGATAAATGGAAGAAAAATACAATCTTAGGTGCAATGAAAGGAAAGGAAAAAGAACACTTTTTGGGGAGGCCTCACTGGACAGATGGATTTTGAAGCATGTGCCTTATTGCTCCTAGTTACCTAAAAGCAATTATCTGGGAACCTCCCTTCAAAACTAAAAACAATGGGATGGCAGGTTGTTCATTAATTCAGTAATCTGTTGGAAGAGTTAGACTTCAGGAATGTGTGTGTATATATATATATAAAAAAGACATTCTTATGTATGTGTTTATGTACATAGATATAGACATGATTTTGGCAGGGAAACAATTTCAGAGTATGACTTTATTAAGAACAGAAAAACACTTTAAGCCTTAACCTGCTGTTAGACTAATATGGTAACAACTCAATGATGTATTAAATAATCCCTTTTTAATTTTTAATAAATTATTACATCTACCCATGGTGGTATAGATGGAATAAAGAGGGTACCGAAAGCCTCAATCTTTGTAAAGGGCAATCTTACAAAATGTAGAGATGAATAAATTTGCTAAATGGATTTTTATATTCTTGATCTTTGTGGTTTAATGGGATAATGCAATCTGCAGGAATATCTATTCAAAATTCCTTTGTAGAATATTCCTTTTGCAGTACTAATCAGTACATCTCTATCTGGTAATTTGAACAAAGGATGGGAAAAGTTAACCCTAGCAATGCATCTGTAGCAAATTATTTTCCTCTGTAGGACACTGTGTTCGAGTGGGGATTTATATTCTGAGGAAATATTCTGCTACCCTCAGCACAAGCTCATCTGAGGATTTTTGCATATTACTGAATTTTATAGAATGGGAAGAAGAGTTTTAAGTGTGAATTATCTTTCAGAAAGAAATAATAATTTACATTTGAAAATAATAAACAATGAGAACAATAAGTAATTCCAGTTAAAAAAATTAAAAATATAGAACTGAGGTTTGCTTTGGTCAGTAGAAGGCATAATGGAAGGCATCATTTATTGATTCATGTAGAGGGGGGAAAAAGTTGAGGGAACCATATTTTTCAGAGATTGGAAATATTTTCATTATCTAAGACTTTTCTATAAGTATTTGAAATATAATGTATTCCCATAGTAAAAGTCGATATTTTGTAGGTCTCTAGAGTAAAGCGCAGCAATTATTTTGACAACAAGGGCAGGTAATGGCAGTAATAAGTGTTTCCTCCTGTTTGGAACTAACAGGTGACTCATCATAGCAGCAGAGCTTTTGGTTACCTGCATTCTTGCCTTACTCCAAAAAAGATAAGGGCTGAAGCTACAAGCGTTACTCCTTCATCGAGTAGACATTTGCCAAGGGAAGTTAAGCAGACACCTCAAAAGATCACTGATTGATTTATTCTGTCTCTGAAAGCTGGATTGGCATGCCATTCTACAGCACCTAAAGAATTACTAGTAGTACAGAAAGAGTGCCTGAATAACCTGTATTTCTCTCTTGCCAAGAGAATATAAAATCTGGAGAGCAGAAAGTGCTGTTGACAGAATTGAAAAGAGGTAGTTCTGATGAAAGAGTGACAGAATCAAGAATCAGAGCAGACACCTTGGTTGCAGAAGTATCTGCATATGTTAAGAGCCCTTTCTATTCTTGGCCAGGTATTAAATGAAATTTATTTATTCCCTTTCATTGAGCAAGCTGCCCAAGACGTGAAAAGTTTAATACCTGTCCTCCAATTCTGACATGTATTAATCTGTGTGATAAGATTAGTTGGGTTTTTTTCAGCCATTCGTTTTCGATATGAAATAACTCTTTGACAGTAGTACATGTATGCATTTTTATGCCTTCCTACAGTACCAAACAATGGGTGGAAGATACTTGGTACTATGCTGTAAGAGCAATGTGCTGGAATCTGGAGTCACTAACCAGTTTTAGAAAGCACTACTCCCCTTTATCAGAGTCCCTTGGGATTTCTTTGTTTTAGCTGTCATTTACTTATTTTGCTGTTGCAGAACTGCAGCCATCCTCTTGAGCGGAAGCAGCTGGTGGTACTAAGACATATTTGCTCCAATTTGCTATGCCTTTCTTGTTGGGTGTTGGCACCTCTGCATACCCATTCTGCCAACATTATTTTATAAAACTTTAAGCAGAATACAGTCAGCATTGTATCTTTAATTCCAAAGCATTAGGAGTTATGTTTAAATACTCTTTTTGTGCCAAAATACATATTCTAGAAATGTATTGATACATTGGAGGAAATCTGGGATGCTAGTGTGAAAGTGTGGGGAAAGAGAAATAAAAACAATTATCAAGAATGTTACATAGAGCTGTAATGAGGAGAAATAGAAGAGCTCTGGCTGAACATTATTGAAATCCAAGTAGGCAAGATCTCAAAATATATCTCACAAAATCCCAGGGGAAGTTACTGAAACTTTGGCAGTGTATTCCTTTAAAATGACACTAGAAAAGAGATTAGAATTTGTGTAACAGAGAATAAGCTTCCACTAAGCCTCAAGCTAACTAGACACTCTTAACAGAGTAAGGCATTAAACATGAGTTGTGCCAATTCACAGGACTGTGTCTTGTTGTCATTTCTAATTCTCAGAACAGTAGAGGTATATTAGTGCAATGATTCACTGTCCTTATCTGCTGAAGAAACCCGATGAGAGTATATCCATTCCAGGATTCATATTTCCTTCCTTTAGGACAATATGGCTATTCCCAAGAGCACCAGAATTCTCAGTTCTTTCTGTCGCTTTCAAAGTGGTAGAAAGAAGGGTGATAAAGACAATCAAAGATATGGAATGATGTCTTTTTGCAAATAAACAAGCAAAGAGTCTAGAACTTGAGGGACTTAACTGAGGAAAGTGTGACTGAAGGCTATAAAATCATGAGTAGCGTGGAAAAGGTGAATAAATTATTATTCATGTTTCTTCTGATACAAAACTGTATGGACATCAAATGAGATTATCAGGAGAGAGAATCAAAACAAACCAAATAGTTAGTTGTACATGCACTTAAACTGAAATTCCTTACAAAAGGATATTTGGATTCTGAAACTAGACCTGGATTAAAAAACTGACTGGATAAAATCATGCAAGAAAAAAAATCCCTCATGAGCTATGGGACACATAGATAATCCCTCTCCCTCTGAAAGTCTCTAGGAAACAGATAATTTCAAACTGGAAAAATATACTAGGAAAATAAAGTAACATGCTAGCCCTGCTCTGAGCTTTGTCCTAGTCATTTGCTATCGACCATTGTCAGAGAAGGGGTTCTGAGGTAGCTGGATCTTCGGATTGCCTCAGTATGGCCACTGTTTTGTTTTGTATGACATGCTTAATTTTTGATGTTGTCAGTCTCTTACCTATGATTTGCATTGTTATTGCAACTCTATCAGTCATATTTTCTATCTGAAGAGTGACTTCATATGCCCCTGAGTGATGAAGCTCTGCCTTTCTGATGAAAAGGATTGTGTCCGTGTTGCTGTTCCGAATTCCCACATCTTTGGAGTCTAGAGTTTGACCATCTTTCATCCAAGTGATTTTGGGTCTTGGTTTCCCCTGAAGAGAAAAAAAGTATTATTATTATTTTTAGGCTATAGTAGATTTCCATTTTAATTTTTTTTTGTTTTTTAGTGATCTGTAAGTCTAGAAAGCCTAATTTAATATGCAGAGTTGAGACAGTAAACTCTCTAAATACTTTCCAGTTTCTGTTTTCTTGCAGACAAATGTTTGTTCCCATCTGTGTGGTTTAGTGGCACCATGCCCTGAGGATGCCATTTAGTTACAGTTAGAGAAGAGACTGAAATTATATTGAGAACAAACCCAGAAAAAAATATACTCATGCTGGTCTGGTACTCTTTCCCAGACATTTGTGAAGCCAACAGTTGATCTGTCTTGCTCTGATTATTATTAAGTACAGAAGTCTTTAATATCTGAGGCATTTATTAGCTCCCCCCCTCCCCCTTCTCCTTCCTTTCTTAAAATATTTGATTCTCGATCCCCAGGCATTTTTAAGATCTTTCGAAAAATTGTTATAATCTTGAAGTCTTGGGACATGAAACTTACTGCATAATTCTTTCTGCATTGCAAAAATTGTTTTGGTGACTGTCAACCTAAGCAGTCAGTGTTGCCTCACCCATAGAAGATGATGTTGTGGAATCAGTAAATTATCTGTGGTTTACATCACTGTCACTCAGCCATTTCCAGGAAAACTGGTAGATAATATCTAGTTCTTCAAAAATTGTTTGAGTACTACTTCCACAGTACAGCTTCAAACCAAGAATCCCAACAAAATAGGAAAGGGCCATATCAAATTTATTAACTGTATAGTCAATCTAGTAGAAAGTATCTCGGTGTTTTTTTTTAAGTTTCTGCCAGACTGACATGGTGAAACAGTGCAGCACAGGGCTAGATGAATGTCAGGAGTAGCTTAAATGGGTGGGGAGGGAAAGGGAGACCATCCAAGCCAGCAGTCAGATCTGCTTAGGCTGCCCTGGAACTGAAGTCTAAGGCACTGAAATTAGGACACACACTACCCTCCACCTCTAGTAAACAGCAGAGAAAGCGCACCTCTAGAAGGCTCCTCAATTCACTGGGTGCCTGGAACATACTCTGTAAGACTGGATCTTTTTCCTTAGGCTACAGAGGGAGATTAGGATACTCAGGCTCTTGGTTTAGGTGCCTACAGGTAGGCAGAATAAAAATGAATCTTTGTGCTTTGCTGCACATTTGTTTCAGGTGTGTCTGGTATTTGCTCAGAAAGTCTGTGCAGCGTAATTTTATTTTTCTACAGTATTAGGAAAAAAACTTCTTTTATAAGAGTTAGGCCATGATCTAGCCAAAATTGCACTTCAAGGACTTCTAAAACACCTAGAAACTGCTATTCTTTAATAGATGCTCTTTTCTCTGACATCTAAATAATCAGATGTATTGTAATTGATTTTACATCGGGGCTGATAATAAACCTTGAATGGGCAATAGTTTTGGATTTTCCATTTTCACCATCTGGTAACTGATTTTCTTACTGCTTTCTGCTAAGAAGTACAGTCACCTCAAGCCTGTAGCTCTGAAACATTAAATACAAGATTATTTTGTCCAGTTCTAGTGTAGACTTCACTCTGGTCTCATTTCACAGAACCCTTATAAAAACCTATTACTGGAAGACATGGCTTCCTTTCTTCAGCTGGAAGGTATAATAGAAATTCTTGAACAAGTAAAAGGATGTGGTGTGGGGTTTTTTGGGTTGTTTTTTTTTTTCCATATCCATGTCTGATTATTGGTGAACTTGACAAGAATTGACTCTATTTCACTTTCCACATATGTGTATATTTTAAAATGATATGAGGACTCTGCTTGAAATTTTGGCTAGGGGAATGTTTTCAAAATAAAACCAATCTACTTAAAATGGTATAATTATATAGAAGTTTTATTTAAATTTCTAATTTGTCAGACAAATACTTGGCTAGGTTTTCAGGCTGATTACAAGATTTAGTAGTTCTTGATGGGTTGAGTAATAAGGTGAATCAAGGATCTAGCCCTAAATATCTTGTCAAAAATGGGCATGAGAAACCATAGCATTATCTTTATCATAAGAAATATCTTGACTATAAATCAAGCTTTTCTATTGCTGGTGTTCTAATGTGGTTGATCAAATATGTTCTCTCATAGCACCTCCTTTTTTGAGGTGCTATGAGTGCCAGTGAAAGATCGCAAGTTTTCAAAGTGTTGGTTTTCATATACTCTTATATTTATAGACTGTGAAAAGCATAAACAGATAGAAAGCATGTTCCTAATACATATCTCAGAGGATTGGATTTCTGCAATGTGTAATAGGTAATCTGAGAGAGAACAGTGAGTGACAGAGTGGGTAAACAGCACACCAGAGCAACTTCAGGGAGTTTACTGCCAGGGAAGAACAAATTTAAATGCTTTTAGATGTTTTTATTCACATGTACATGATGGGCAACAAGACTGCTCAGTAATACTCTGAATTTTATCCACTAATAGCATGTAATATCCCTTCGATCATGTACCTATGTAGTTAATTTTGAAACAAGCATGTGTTGATTCCCTTCCTTTCAGCAGAATATCCCACCTGCTTAATGCACTCAACAGAAAAAGGGTTAGTAATAATGTTGTACTTATTCTTTTCTGTACCTTTTAATCTAAAGATTTGAATAGATTTGCAAACAGCATTTAGCCCAGGATACCTTGACAAGGTATTTAATAGAATTTCAGTGTTAAATGACACAGTAGTGACCACAGAGGTCACTGGCAGGGTTGCACAGAAACTAAATAGTAGAAGACACTGACGTACACTTTAGTTTGGTGATATTCTGCCTGCTTGGGTTCCCTAGCTCAGGGTTCATAGTAATTCCAGTATTTATGGATTTTCTCCTATATCCTTTTTGTAATTCGAAGATTGCAATCATATCTACTTAGAGTCTTTTTCTTCAATAGAAATGGTCAGCAATTTAAACTTTTTCAAAATGTAAAGTGAAATGTTCTTTTTGCTTTGCTTTTTTTTTTTTGAAAGATCCTCAGTTTTACATATTCTAAATCACTTCTGCAGTATTAAGAATTGTAGCTGTAGCTGCAATTCAACACAATTACAAATTTAATTTGCTCAAAAAATACCTCTTGAATTAAAATCTTCTGGTTTTGTTCTTGGGCTAAATTTGGTGTCGATGGATAGATTTTAGCATTTTTTGTTAGCCTTATCTTTTAGGAGACAAGAGTTTATACCAACACATGATTTGTCTGTCAGTCAGCTACTCAAATAACTTTTGAATCCGTTGGTTCATTTCAGCTAAATTTGACAGTGCACTAGAAATTTCTAAGATTAGCTTAGTACAGTTTTGTGAAAACTGATGACAGGGTGAAATGCCGAAACCTCAGTTAGTGTCCCCACCGAGGAAAAGTCAGGGAAGACTTGGTCTTTATCCGTTTTGTTTGGCAACAGCTGAATGATCAGGCAGGATAAGTGAAGCTCTGGATTAGTTGCTACATGTACTTTCTCTGGCCCGGGGAACTGAGGACATGTCAGCTAGGATTACCTAGGGGAGTAGGGCAAAGAACTGGTAAATCTCTGGGAATATTGCAATGAGGCTGCTCTAAGCAAAAGAGGTGGGTTGTTATGCTGTGAAGATGGTGATATAGGGGACATAAGACACAAATCTATAAAATGCCAAACTATCAGTTCCTCTGCTTGTGGAACAGCTTGTCAATTTTGTGCAAATTTTCTTCAACTCGGACATCAAAGCAGCAAAAAGATGTTTGTTTCATTTAATTTTTTTAAGACTTACATAACTCAGAAATATCAGATGTAAAGTTCTGAATTTTGCATGTGGCTAGACCTCAGTGAAGGGGCCATTTTAGCAATTTTGCAGATAAGAAATGTGAAAGAAAAAAATAAGCATGTGATTATGTTGAAGTAGTGCAAGCATGCAATTCAAAGCGGTTACTCCATGTATTGGTTTGCTACTTTACTGATTAGATATATCTTTGTGAAAAAGCAACTTTTCATGTAACCCAGTAAGCACAGGGCAAAAGATGTGTATATTTTATTTTACATAGATTTTGCTCTTATATAGATTCTTTCCCCTCCCCCCTGCTCGTAGTGCCCAAACAGAAGAATACAGGTAATGTGTGCATATATGTCTCCCTTACTGAAAAAATGTTTTGCATATTTCCAGCATCTTTTACATGAGAATTTCAAAACTCTTCACTAATAACAGTGATTGCATTTTCATAAATGTCAACCCTGGACAGCAGAGAAATTTTAGTTTCTTCAAATTAGAAATGAGGAGTAGATTAAATGATATATCTGTTATTACTGAGGATATCTCTGTCAGAGCCAGAATCTGCAATTTACAATTTCTTTTCCTGTGTCTCACTCAGAAAACCTTTTCCTTCCACACACTGATTCTTGCACTGTATTGATATTACAGTCTTGCATCTGAAAAAATGCATGTGGTGTTTTACGAACAGTCATTATAGTTGCTTATACAGCTGTAGACAGGGTAACTGGTTAGGTCAGTCTGTGTGTATATTTTAGCAATTTGGTGCATGCCATAGCGGCATGTGTAGTTACATGCATGCACTCTTGATAATCCTTGGCATGCTGTGGTTTTTTTACACCTGAGCTCAGGTACAGTAATACCCAAGCTATTCTTTGTATACACATAGATTCTATATAAGGCCAATTGTGATAGTCTGCTTATGTACAAACTCTAATTTTTGTAGTCAGCCTTTCAGAAATGAACATACACACTTTTGGCAAAGAAGTTGCCCAGTAACTTCATGTACCTTGGCTCCAGAAGAGTAGTTGGTTGAATTCTTAAGCTTTTGTGTACTTCTGTCTTTAAGAAGCATGCTATGGTCAATAAGCTTGCATTTACTTACAGCACTTACTTTTTCTTCTTGCCCAAAAGATTATGGAAGAAACTGTGACTGTAAAAAACATCATGACTGAAAGAAGAGTGATATTTTTTTTTTTTCCCTTTAATGTTTGAGAGGATTTTTTAAATCATCAGCTGTGCTTTATGTAATACTGCTTAAGCAGTGAAGCAGTGGGAACTTGCATAAGGGAAAGTACTTTAGGTAAGTGATGATAAATAACTGTTGACAAAATAGAAATGGATACATACCTGAAAAGGGATCACAATATTGATTGTCTCACCCACTTTCTTCACCAGAGTCTGTCTGAGATGGCGTGGCAACCAGATTTTGGGACGCTCTGCAGTTAAGCATTAGTACATTAAATACAAAGCTTTTGATAATTTGAAACATTACTTATAGCACAAATAAGACAAAACACTGAAGAGGAGAGGCTTGGATACTTGTAAGCATAAGAAAATTGTGCAAACATTGTTTATACAGTTAGGGAGTCGTTAATTCTCTAAGTACTTTCAAATGTATTTGACTACTGGATACAAATTTAGTAGCAAATCTCAGTTATATATTTACAGCTGAGCAGGTTTCAATGACAGCAGGATTTGTGAAACTGTATTGCATCTGAAATGCCAGATTTGGGTGACTTTCATTGGATGTGGGCCTTCTATGTGGTTTTTGTTTCTTTGGAGAACTTTATCAGTTCAGTACAAGGGATGGGACAAAGGGTGTGTTGGAGTAAAAGAGTGATTATAGACTATGATTAATCTATTGCTATATTGATACTGCAGCTCCTTGTAAATTGCCATTTGGACATATTATGGACTTACTGAGCAAGTAGAGCAATCAATGGATTTCCTTTACCTTTCTACAATCATTCAATAATTGTATGAATGTTCTTTGAGGTGGAAGGAGTGGAGTCTCATTGTAGCAGCTTACTTTTCACTAACAAAAAGAGGACCTTAGTGCGTGTTTTTTCACTTAGTCCCTGCTTTCCTCTACCTCACTGAAAGGCTTTCTGTATTCTCCATGTGTTCCTTATTCTTTTCCTAGTAATTTACAGAAAGAATTTCTTAACATACAGTTGGAGTATCTGTCTTCATGTCCATTTGGTTTTGAGATGCATTACAACTTTGTTTCATTTACACTGAGTCATTTTACTGTCAGTGAGACTCTGGCAGACACTTTGTGTGAGTCAAGGTTGAGGAATCCACTATTAGCAGCTCTTGATATCTTTAGGACTCCAGTCAAATGAATTATAATCTACTGCTGTTGGGTGATACACAGGCTGTTAATTAATAACCTAGGACAACCAAGTACAGATAACTGCTTTTATTTAAATAGGTCTCTTGCCGTAGCCAACATGGTCATTTTGCAGTAATATAACAGCTTTTCCAGCAGAGAGCTAAATATTTAAAAATGTGTCTCTTAAATGCTGACAGTGCCATTACAAGTGGTGAAATGTCCATATTTTGAAAGTAAGAAGTAGGATTTTGTTTTAAGAGCTATGCTTTAGAAATATAAGACCTGGACAATAAAGTAATGTTCTCAGAATCAGAAGATATTGGGCATCCAATCAGAGTGAAAGAGCTGTTTCGGTGTTATTCTCAGAAGGCAGCACAGGCTTGTCAGTCCCAGAGTTTTTCTGCATGTGTACATGATTAGAGTTTTGACCAGAGGAAACAGATACATAGGATTTATTCAGTCTAGATACTCACGCAGGATCTCTTGAACAGTAACGGGTTCTTTGATTGTTGCTGCTCCACTCTCACCAGCCAAGTTTATAGCCTTTATACGGAAATGAAGTTTGTCCCCTGTAACCAGGTCTTTAATCAGTGCCGATGTGCGCTCTGTTAGGCCAGGAAGAGCTGGAATCCATTCTGTAGCTGCAAGTACAGGATTTGCATATTGTAATAATATATTATTTTTCCAAACTGATGCCTTGTCTACAACTGAAAGTAAATTTGTGTTCGGGTAAAATGAATTTAACATGCAATACCCTTAAAAGGGAATAAACTAAGCTGGAAAAAGAACTCTGGATCTAGAAGATGTGTTTACACATGGAGTTAGGGAATGTATGCACTTTGTTTATTCAAAATAGCTAAGGGTAAGGGAATCATCTTTGGGTAGTTCCTTTGTCATTGTGTTTTATAGAGTTTAGAGCTGTGGGGCTTCTCTACATTTATTTTCATTAGCAAGAGCGGGGGGAGAGAATTTTGGAAGTATTTTTAGCAAGAAAGTGAAGCCTTAATTTAATTTTTTCTTGGAATAAGTATATCTCCCATGGGTGTCCAAATGGATCGGTCAGAGCCACATATGCTGACAACAATAATAGAGCACATAACTGTTGAAATTTATTATTAACTTCTGAATTGACACTGTAGAACAAAATTCTTAGGGCTTCCTTAGTTATTCTAATGACATAGAAGTACAACTGATAAAATCATTCCTCTGTGATGATGACATAGGGTGGTCATTCCATGATGATATCTCATTAAAGACTATAAATTATTTTTGGATAAATTATACCCTGTAAAAACCCTATGGCAATTGAGCTTAGTGTCAGAGAAAATTTCATGATTGAAGTAATTATAAATTTGGTTTTTTATTTTTATGACATAAATGTTATGTTGTAGCATCACAGTAAATTGAGTGTTGTAGATATGGTGCAGTTCTACTCTTTATTATCAGACCACAAGTATTAAATGAGATAAGGTAACAGTTACTTGAAAGTTTGACTTATGTTGTTACAGTCATGTTTTTATATTGGTTTTAAGGAATACACAATTTGTGAATGCTACAAAAGTATAGTAGCGACTATAGAACAGCACTGGTATTTTTGTTGTACTTTTCTGTATTGAAGTTTATGACAATTGTGAAGATGACGTTATGGTTGATGTGACTTTCATGGTTTTACAGTCATGTTGTGGTAAGTCTGGTGGTGGTTGGCAAGGATGTTAGTCATAGATTAGAGTTCAAATTTAATATGGTTAATATGGTTAATTTATTGGGATATTGCAGTGAAGCTATTGCAATTGTAGTATTTTCATAATGTTCAGCTGCTGCTGCCTAGTACTCGTGCTTACTTACATCCATCTTTGCAGTATTCCACAATATAACCATCTAATCCCCCGGCTCCAATTCGCTCAGGGGGTCTCCACTTCAAGGCAACAGTGCTGTCAGAAACATCTTCCACTGTAAAGTGGGTTGGTTCACTTGGAGGAGCTATAAGGAAATATGTAGAAGTAAATTCTGAGAAATAGCAATATAACTGTGAGAATTCAAAGGCTATAGGAGGAGTGATTAGCAGCTGAATTATATACCACTATCTGTTTTAATAAAATGCATTTCGCTGAAGCTCAGTTGTAAAATGTAACACCTAATACTTCATTTAATAGAAGTGCAGCATAAGATTTCTATAATAGGGAGGGGAAAAAGAGGTTAAGACAGTAGTTCCTTTTCACATATGCTCCCTTATGAGTAAAAGGCAATGAAAAAAGAAGAGTTGCAGAAGGGAGTCAAATTGTCAGCGGAAGTCTGCAGAAAAGTTTAGAAATAAGAATGCATAAAATTTGTGTGCTGTACTTACACCCTGCTTGTAATTAGGTAAAATTCACATAGTCAGAGGACCAAGTTCATCAGTAGCTGAATTTGACTTCACTCATTTTCCTTTAACAGTGGAGAAAATGACCAAAAGTTATGACTACATGTTTACAGAAACACTAGTTCTGATTTGTGCATTTGTAATAGAGGCATGCCTGAGAAAAATATTTTGGGGCTGAAAAATTTTCACTTCAGTTAGATATAGATATTTCATATCTTTTCAGAACAGAAGTGTCATGGCTTTTTTAAAATCCATAGTTCAGAAAGACCACTAGCTAAATTCAGTCTTCTTAGGCATGACTGTTGTCTACTAATTGCAAAACAATCAAGAAAAGCCCTTACTGGAGAATCCCAAATACACACAAATGCTACTGTGAAATCATTGATTCCAAAAAGCAAACAGAAGGATAACTTTTTCAAAATAACATTTAGAGTGCTGGAACATAAACTTTAGTACACATGGCATAAAAGCAATCATGTTAAAGGAATGTATATTTGGCATACTCTCTGTGTATGAATTATAAACGGAACATCTTTTGAATATATGTAACATTTTATATATTAGAAATATTTAATCTATAAAGTAAATTAAATACAGGTTTATAAATTGTGCAACTGATTGAAATTGATCTTAGTTCCTAAAGTTATTGTAAAAAAAAAAAATTAAAAAAATATCACTCAGTTTCCTTTCTGTAGCTGTGTCAAAATTTTTCATAGGCAAATGTCAGCAAGGACTGTGAACAGCACACAGGAGGCAAAGGCAGTTGGGAGCATACACAACTACACAGTACACAATCAAAACCCAAAACCTCTTCTCTGAAGCAGTAAGTGTGAACTTTTTCCTTAATCCAGCAAAACTCTGCCTAGCCCATGAAAACTTTGGACCTTTTTTTTCAGTAGCTCCGCTTGATGGTTTTCGTTTGTCCTCTTTTGTTGCAGACCAGCCATTCTCTGTTTGAAATCCAGAATTAAGAGACCCTTCTTGCAGTTCATTCTTTCCTTCTGACCCCTTCACTGCATCATCTGCTTTTACATTATCTCCTTCAGCAGGCTGTTCACCTTTGCTGATATTTGTAGATTTAACAACTCTAGTCATTTTAATCTCCAGCTATTTGTATTTTTGTGGGTCTTCTCTCTAAAGCTCTTAGCAGGCAGGCTTCCTGAGGACTCCTTTAGTTTGCTCCTTCTCAGGGACTGCAGGAGAGACTGCACTGCTGTGTTGGGAAGGATTATTTATAGAAAAGAATTCCTCAAATATTTTCTTAATCAGCTATCCTTTTAGCTGTGGAGAGGGCCAGGATTAAGGGAGTACTGGGTGGGATACAGTGATATTTGCACCCATAAGGGAATGGGAGAAGCTGAGAGGGACAGGGAATTTTCTGTCAATTAGTTCTCCTCCTTTCCAGATCTAGCTTGACTCTCACACTTCTAATTATAACAACTAAAAATTCATCAGCAATTTCATGAAACTGGAACCTCTGTGCTTCTCAGGAAGGGGAATGAGAGAGAGAGAAGAGGAATATTACAAAGGAAAAGGTTCATTAAATATAGAATATAGAGATGGTTAATAGCGTCTTTCCCAACATGTTCTTTTTAGGTATAAGGGCAGTTGAAGAGAGGAGGTGAAAATTGTCCCATCTTGGTTTTGTCCTAGAAATAATGTAGAGGTTGGTAAAACTCACCAATTGGCATGAAGGGTTGTGAGGCAGGGCTTGGCCGGGACATACCAATAGAATTCACAGCATAAACCCGCATCTCATAAACTACTCCTTCAATCATTCGCTTTGCTTCATAGGTTAGCTCTTTTAAAAGGTCAAAGTTCAGTCTCATCCATCGATAGCTCTTCTTCTTCTTTCTCTCTAAAATATAGCCTGGAAAGGATAGCTCTTATGATGTAAAAGAACTGCAAATTATTATCTCACATGCAGGAAAAAAGAAAATCACCTTTTTTTCCCCCCAATGGCATAAAAGAACCAAATGTGATTCAGAATCATTGCATATAGCTGAATTGTGTGAAGCTTTGGTATTTTCCTGCAGTTTCCTTTTGTATTACTTTCCTTCTAGCTGACATTCTTACCTGAACAATTATACTTTTCAGAGTAGAAGTTATTTAGAATTGTCTATGTTTGGTATTAGGCTTTAAGCACATTTTGCATGCTATACACTACTGCTAAGGTATTTAGATGTATGCAAAATAGAGATTCTAGCAGAGCTGGTTTAAATGGTAAATCCTTTCTGGTGAGAATGCCGTCATTCACTCCTAATGGCAAAGAAGTGCATGAGACACAGCAGTTCAACAGAAAGCCCTTTCAGTGAAGGAGAAATTGCCTTGAAATGTGTAAGATGAGATATAGAGTTAAAAAACTGATTTCTGTCTTATATTCTGCTGCAATTCACTAATCTTGACTAACAGCATAAATCCCAATGCAAAAATTTAGTGGGAAGAACAGTTTGATGCTTCCCTTTGTTTGTTTTTTTTTTTTTTTTTAAATGGTTTTTTAAAGAACTTATGTTACATCCCTGTGTCCATTGCCAAGTGGTGGAATTGCGGAGTGCTTCCCAGGCAGTGCAGATTCCAGCTCTGCTTCAGCCCTATAATGGAGTGAGTCCTGGCCACGCACCATTTTTCTTGCTCTGATTCCCTTGGGAAGGAAAGTGAACCTGTATGATTATACAGAGAACCAAAAGAGCTGGATGCACCGCAGAACAAATCTGTAGTATAGCTTAGATGTAGCCTGTATGCCCAGAATCCAGGTTTTTAGTACATCTTCATCCCTCAACATCCACAGCCTTTTCCATGCTACTATGCTGTGTTTCAGAATGACTAAGTCAGGCTTATCAGGGTTATCAGTTTAAAAGATAAACTTCTCATTTCCCAAAACTAGGAATGGAATCTATGATTCTTGGTCCTTAATATGGAGGATGGTTGTATATCAAATTGGAAATGTTTGTATAAATTATTTTCCAGTGACCTGCTACAAAGGAGTTATCAACGGTTTCTTTCCATCTAGCTATATTAAATTTCTTTTGCTTCTCTGTGTTGCAGATAGTATGCCTGGATGTGATGCATGTAGACTTCTTTTAAACAGATTTTGTTGTAAAAGCTATTCATCTTTTAACTATGGAGTGAATAATCAGAAAATACACTGAATAGTTATTTACACATACCATGTATTTGTATGTATTGTATGTCTGTTTCTACCTATAGTCTACAGAGGACATGTCTGTAAGAGAGGTCAGCTACAGTAGTGTAAGTCTATAGCAAACACATTGTAAAGATTTATGAATTGAGCTGCATAGGTCAGTGATTCAATCCCTGCTGCTCACAAAGGTCGTGGCTATCAAACTTGCAGATGTCCCTTTGGTATATCTGGGAAGTATGATACACACAGCGTCTAAAGGGAGATGGAGAACAACAGGCATAGTTTGCTGACATGTTGTAGGCACAGACATCATGCATCAGCAGCCTTCCCTGTCTACATTGAATTGCAAGAAGAGCATGGGAGTCTACAGAATGTTTTGGGAAATGAGTGGTGGAAGTACCTTTGAGCTGACAGGCTGTATCATCACTTTTAATGTATAAGTTACTCTGGCATGCCTGTTTTCAGTAGCTTTTAAACAGGGTTAAATGCTGTAAGCAAAGAACCTATGGTTCCTTTGACATGTTCCTGCTTTTTTTCTCTCTTCACCAGGGTCTGTGAGACTGAGAGAAGTTTCAGCAACTCTGTTTTTCTGCCATTTTAGATATGCATAGTTTCCTGTCGGAACTGAGACACTTCTTCACTGTGGCACTGGCATACCAGAATTGCAATTAAAAAAAAAAAGTAAAACAGAGGTAAAAAGACAATACTGGTACTATTGGTGACATTTGGTAAAGCAGATTATTTCCCCAAATGCACAGAATGTATGATAGATAAAGATACTACTTTAGTAATATAACAAGTACATGAGATCCCATGAAAGGTTTGCATAACAGTGAAGATGGGGTATGAATTTCTTTTCTCTATCTGTTGGATATAGCTAATAAAGACTGCAGCAGACTGCCTACAGTGCCATCTGTAACAATATGAAGACAGATAAGAATGCATATGTCTTTTCCCCCTGCCTTTGTAACTTGCATTTAAAGCTTGCTTTGAATGGATAGTGCTGCATATTGG